TTAAAAGTAAAATCAGCCTTGAGTTGAGGTCGACTGTTGATGACCCTAGGGAATATCAATTCAGTTTTCTTGACAACTGTACCCAAAATGGTTTCCCATTGCCTTATTTCATGATGCTTTTCCAATGTCCAACATTCCTGGTCTCCAAAAACTAGCCAAACTCAAACCTATGTAGCTTCAGCTGCCAACTAGATGCGTGATTGTGAGGTCCTTGGTGCTCTCTGAGCTTGGTTGTTTTCTTGCAGACGTTTCATCACAAAACTAGGTAACATCATCAGTGCTGATGCACTGATGGCGCTATCTGGTTAGGTAATGAAATGTCTGCAAGTAAACAACCAAGCTCAGAGAACACCAAGGACTCCACAGTTCAATCCTGAGCTACAAATATTCTCTTCTATCAGTTGTGTGATTTTCTATTACATTTCATGGGGAAGCCTAAAACATGCCTGTTAATCAAATCAGATTTGACTGTTTTAAAACCTCAAATTCTACAGGACCTTAATCTACTATTTGGAGGGAAAACAACTTAGACTTCAAAAAGAAGATGTAAGAGAAGTTTTTCTCTTATAAAATCTCAGGAAAGGTACTCAAAAAGAATGGGAGGTTTTTTGGGGGGAGATGTCTTTTAAACACTTTCCCCCTATTTTATTATGATTTAACAAAATTGCTCCTGACAGTATGTTTTTTTGAGTTATCCCAAAGGCAAAAGCAATAAGGGCACCAAGAAATGACACCTCAGAAACCACAACTGAGCCCAAAATGTATGTTGTTAAGCAAGGCCGTTGTTAAGTGCGTTGTATATTATTTTACAACCTCTTTTGCCACAATTGTTACACAAATCACTGAAGTTGTTAAGTGAATCATGTGATCATTAATTGAATCTGGCTTTCCTCATTAACTTTGCTTGTTGGAAGCTGGCTAATGGAGATCACATAATTCCAGGACAATGCAACCATTGTAAATACATGCCAGATGTCAAATGCCTGAATGTTAATCCTGTGATCCTGGGGATACAACAGACGTAAGTGTGAAAAACAGTCATAAGTCACTTTTTCTAGGGCCATTGAACAGTCACTGAACAAATGGCTGCAAATCGAGGACTATCTGTTAATACTGGTTTCACATTCTTATTCAAGGCATGGCCCAATTTACTATAGAGCAAATTTTTTAAAATTTATAATCTTTTCAAACCTCTACTTTATATTTGACATATATTTGGAGGCCTGTTAAGGAAACCTTATCCTACAGAGTTGATGGTTATGACATTACTTTTCCTATCACTATCAGCAGTTATCTTTCAGGAAAAATTCTCGATCCTTGTTGTTCAGCACAATGACTCCCTTCTCATATCCCTTCCCTCCTTATTGCTCAAAAGGCATTCAGTCCAATTTCCTATGCACCCTAGCTAGGAAGTAAGATATAAGTTGCCCCATTCTGATTGGCCTATATACCAATTAATCCATTTCTCTCCATTTTCCACATTAGAACATGAACTTAGGAATCTGCAATCATATAAAGAATGGTTGCTAGAATTGGATATGTCTAGTTTAATGAAAAGAAAAACTAGGGGTGACATGACAGCAGGGTTCCAATATTTGAGAAGTTGCCACGAAGAAGAGGGAGTCATGCTATTCTCCAAAGCACCTGAAGGCAGGACAAGAAGCAATGGATGGAAACCAATCAAGAAGAGAAGCAACCTAGAACTAAGGAGAATTTTCCTGACAGAACAATTAATCAGTGGAACAACTTGCCTCCAGAAGTTATGGATGCTCCAACACTGGAAGTTTTTAAGAAGAGATTGAACAACCATTTGCGTGAAATGGTATAGGGGTTCCTGCCTGAGCAGGGTTTGGGCTAGAAAACCTTCATGGTCCCTTCCAACTCTGTTATTCTGATTTTGTTCTCAGAAGATTATGTCAAGTTTCCATTTCATGTCTCTGTAAATCTTATTCTCCACTTTTAGCTTCAAATATTTCCGTTGTTCTTTTGTTCTGCAAGGCTTTCTATCCTTCTTCCAATTATACTTCAGCCGGCCCTAGGACCCTTCAACCCACCCAAGGAAGCTTTTTCTTGTCATAAATCAGGTCATCTATGCAACAGCAAAAATAAACTTTCCAACACTTTGTATAATCATGATTATTTTTACTGTTTGCTCACTGAACCATCACAGTGTTGAATACATAATATACTAGAAACGGTCTGAAACTACCCATATGTTTCAGTCAGAGAAAAATGAAACAGCAGGAGAGAGAGGGAGAAAGGGATGTTTCTCTACAAAAATTCCAGATGGAGCATATCAGATTGAAAGGTATGTTTTTCCTTATACTGCTGCTTTACTTTTTTTTTCTGTGAAAGTAAACAGCTGTTTGTTTATAGAGCTGAAAATTAAGGTGTGAATTCGGAGAGAACATTAAAGGGATGGCAACATTTGTTCCTTCGCCTTGCATTTATCTTCCTAGACCCATTCTGGTCCCTGTTTCTTGGTCACATAAGGTGATTAAGTTATTCATTCAAAAATGATGTAAATTTAGTTTCAAAATAGGTTTCTAAAGAATTTATATTAATTTAAGGAGTTGTAATGCAGAGTACGAAACTGGCATGTATGCAATCTTTTGCCTTCTAACTGCTCAGCAGAGGTCCAGCCTCAATTCTTGAGAAATCCAAATAATTAGTGAAATAAATAAGATAGAATAAATGGCATTGGTTAAAAGGACTGAAAAAATATTTAGAATAGAATAGAATAGAATAGAATAGAATATTATTATTTATATGATACTGCAAAGCAGGTTGCAAAAAAGGGAAAAGTTTATGATTGTTCTACATTTTTATCAATTTTCAGTACACAGATACAAAAGTACTGTACTACTCTCATTTTAGCAAGTAAATACAGATTTTATAGACGATAACCCTATGTAAAGAACCTATACATTAACAATATAATATTTGAGGCAAATCCTTCTATTATTAAAAAAAAGAAAAGGCATAATGGTTTACTATCTTAGCACTGTGTTCTTTCCTCCCCCAATTTTAGCATGAAATTTGGTAGAAATAGGATTTCTTCTGGAATTCAGTTCCATTTACAACGGACATTGTATATTTCAGGAAAAAAGAGTATTTGAAATTTCAGAATTGTGATATAAAATCTGAGAATCATAACACCAAAAAATCCGTTTAGATCATTGTCCACTCTCCTGCTTACGGTAGTACAGGAATCCAAATTAAAGCATTCAAAACAGATGACCCTCTAACCACATCCAACAAAGCTAGGTGTATTCTAGGTAATTGGTATTATTATGACATACTATGTCAAATGCTTCGCTAAATCAAAATATATTGTGCATTTAACATTCCCTCAATCTATTACAATAGCTACCCAATAAAAATAAATGATTAGGCTAGTCTGGCAAAATTTCTATTTGACACACTCCAGCAATTTACTATGTTGTTTTTCCAGTTTCTTACATAGTTCATGTTCTGCTCAATATTAATCTCAAACTAACTGATCTATAGTTTGCTGGGTTATCCTCTTACCCTTTTTGAAGACAGGGATAATATTTGCTCTCTTCTAGTGATTTGCCTCCCTAGGGGTTTTTCAACATTTGAGTTAGACTCAATTCATCTGGTCCTGGAGAATCAAACTAATTTATTTATTTATTTATTTATTTATTATTTCAATTTATATCCCGCCCTTCTCCCGAAGGACTCAGGGCGGCTCACAACATTATTAAAAGACAAAGAGAGACCCACACACCCCACCGAATAAAACCAAATTAAAACCAATATTTTAGTGTTGTGGTAATTAAAATTTCTAAAAAACCCAATTTAAAAATCCTCCCTAGGCCAGGCCNGAGCGCTTTAAAGGTGGTAACTAACACCTTAAAGCGCACCCGGAAGGCCACTGGCAACCAGTGCAGCTCGCGCAGCAGCGGCGTTACATGGGAGTGACGAGTCCCTCCCAACACCGCCCGCGCGGCCGCATTCTGGACCAGTTGAAGCCTCCGGGTGCTCCTCAAAGGGAGCCCCATATAGAGGGCATTACAGTAGTCAATTTAAAGAAATGGTGTATTTTCTGGCTATCTTTCTATTAGTCTCAAGCTTCAATTCTGCTCATCCTACTTTTTCACAGCTTCTAGCTTGAATACTAATTTTTTTTTATTCCAGAAGTCTAAATCAAAATAAAAAACAAATACTTCTGTCCCTTCTTTTAGTCTTTTACCATTAGTTTATATTGATACTTTTTCTTTACTTTTGTTTTTAACATGTTTAAAGGAAGTCCTTTTGGGTTTTCCTCAGCATAATTCTTTAACTTCTGCTTATTTTCAGTTTTTGTTTTCGTGACACCAGTGCTATAAAATTACAAATATGTTTTCTTTTCTATCTGAGAAGCTCAAGCTCACCTTATCTATATGTCACGTTGTATGTTTATAAAATGAAAGACATGAAGTTAGCTAATATTTTTTTCTGATTTTTCAACAGCGTTACACTGTACTACCAAGTTATTATTAGACAAATACCGTTTAAGTATAAAATGGTTCCACATATGTAGTGGTTCCACATATGAAACCAACATTTTAAAATTAAGAATGAAGCCTGAGGAGCTTTTAACCCAGTCTTGCACTTCTGCTGCTTGATAATATACAAAGATGATGTCAGCAATATGTAACAGTTGCAAGTCAGGTGTATCATGAAAAACTGTTTATGGATCCAACAAATAAATAAAAATTAAGGAATGCTGCCAAAACATAATGAACACAGAACAGTATCGAATAAACACAAATCCACTTCCATAAAGAGAGTTCCTTCTTTTCTACTTATCCCACCATAGTCACTAAAGCCAGATCTGGAGAGTTGAAACTGTTGGAACAGTTTTAGAAACAGAATGGAACAGAATGTTCAGGAGAACAAAAGATTGCCTGCCCCAAATCTAATGTAAGAAAACCATTAATTTCTACCTTGTACATTTACTGGGATACATTTGCTTGTTAAGGATGTAAGCATACCTGATAGTCTAAAATGCTGAATCCTAAACCTATTTTTGTATCTTTGACAAGGACAATGCCTTGGACTTCAGAAGACCATAGTGCTAGTTCCACATCTTCATCTTCTGCTAGGTCCACATCTTCATCTTCCTGCTTTTCCTCTGGATTTTCAAGTTTCACCTAAAACAAAATAGAACATGCTTTTTCTACTGGTAAAATGCACCTAGTATATTCAAAGCAAAAAGGTCATTTAGATTGGAATTTAAATCTATATACTACTAATACTCTAGTTGTCATAATCTTTTAACTGAGTAAAATGGTGCAATGTAGGACAACAATTTTTGAACCAAGGTATCTTTGTACACAAAACGTGTCCAAAATTTGGGACTCATGAGGGAATGAAATTTGGGAAAGCTGTTGCTGCTTTGGTGCTACTGGCTGCTGGGCTGCAGCTGCAATCACATGATCTTTATTTTCAACATTCTGTAACAGTTTCCCAGCCAGTCTCGCAATCCTTCCCTCTCCCCCATTTACAAGCAGCCACTTTACTATGGGATGGGATGGGATGGGAATTTTTGATGCTCCCTTCCAAATTCCCACAAGGAAGCTTAATGGGAAAGCTGGCAAGAATTGGGAAGTTGCTCCTATGTCCACTGTTTTTTTTTTGAGTGGGGGTTGTGCCTGCCCTTGGTCATTGTGTTTCTCTGTTTAGGTAAAGAAGCATGCCCCCATGAAGCAGGGTTGCCTAATGATTCCATAAAATTATATATTGGCCATAGGTGTTTTTATGCAAAGATGAAAGAATGTGTACAATGCATCCTCAGTTGATATTTTTAAAATGATTAACAGCAGAAATGGGCATTTATGAAGTATCTTTTCATCAGTTAAAATGGTATTTTGTTTACTGATACGCTACCTAAATTGGGAAACCTAAGTAACATCAAAAGCACATATTTATTTTACAATGGAAATAGTAAAAATCAATGTTTGGGATGTCTAGAAATTTTAATAGCTAAAACTATAATCTTCCAGGTACCATCAATTTCTTTGTTCACAAGATGGAAGCAATCAGCTAATGGAGAATTCAGAGATTAGGTATAATTCAAACTTTTGCTCCTTTATTAAACTGTAGAAAGATGAATGGGATGTACACTGTCAGCATGTCCTTGCATTGATTTACATACTTGGTATCATTAGTACAATGATATTTCTAGCTACCTGCCTAGATAAGCCACTAGGAATTTCCAATTACATTAAAAGTAGTAAAGCCAGGAGCATGAAATATTTCTGCATGAAGATACGCTTTCTGAACTACAATGACAAGTTTAGAATTCCAAAGAACATACTTAGCACCATCACGTTTTGGAACTTGAAGTTCAAAAATGTTCCATTTTAATTAGCTCCCACTTGGGAAAACTAAAACAGGAAGGCTAGTCATTATTGTCCTACACAAATAAGATATTTTAAATGTTATTACTTCTTGATGGGATACATGAGCACAATGCCTACAGCTGGAATATGAGATGGTTGATTATTCCTTCTAGAAGTAGGCCCTTAAACATATGGGAATTATCTTCCCCAAAGTTTCCTCACTGAGGTAGAAATTCTGCCTGAAGAGCAGAACTTAGTACTTATAACTTTTCCTGCTCCGGATTCTAACTTAGGTGCTCAGAATATTCAAATATAGCATAGATATAGCAGACATCTTCATATCTAATTCTGGAATATCCTTTAGATTATTTTACAAGAATTAATATAGAAATCAGATTTTAACTACTTTGGTTTTTCCTTCAGCTTCTTTAAATATCAGAACAGATGATGTAAACTGTAGACAGATAAATCACAAGTCAGAAGGATTAGAAATTTGGATCTATGGCTGTAGATTGTGGAGTGCTATTCAACAATCTGGTATCAAGATCCAATGTTATCTGCAGGTACATTCATCAACCTATATCATGGATGAAGCATCATAGATTTTGAGCATTGTGTGCTATAATATAATACTGCTCACCATTTTCCATTCCAATACTGTTTATTAGAGTACTGTATTACAATATTTCACTAAATATGATAATAAAAGGTAGAATTTAATCATTTACATGGTAACAGTGAAGTTTCTGCTGCTACATTCCTAATAGTGTCAGCTATAATGAACCATTTAAAGAAAAGAATGCAATATGCTAATGAATATGCACATTTCAACATGCCCATAATAAAAACTTTAAAAGGCAGATGAAGCAGAGCAATTTCTATCATAATGTGGTTACGAATTTTATTTTTTAAAAAACATGACATTCTGAGTGGTAGGAAAATGGCTTATGAATCATTCACATTCATTATTTATAATGAAAATTAAATGCAAAGTAACCAATACTGAAAGCAGTAGCAGAGTCAATTAATAATCTTTGGGAAATCCTTGGAAGCATGCCAAAGGTTGTTTTTTTTTTTTTAATACCTTTGGTTCTAGAGAATGATCAATGGCGGCTGTGGGCTCATCCACAAAAGATTCTGCGTCATCATCAAACAAACGCCGGCAACAAATCAAGGTAAATGGAGGAGGAACTTCTTTCAGAAAAGAAACAGCTTCACGGCGGGATTTCCCATAGAGCTGGACACCATTTACCTAAGGAGAGAAAGGACACCATTCCTAAGTTGACCAATACTTTAAAACTATTTGCGTTTATCATAAATATTTGACTGCTTACTTTATAATGTTTCAGTGATAGGCGAGTGCGATTCCCCCTGCTTAATGTACATGTAGATGGACTTCATTTACAATTCCAACTCTCTCATCTATCATCTATCATCTATTATCTCTCTCTCTTTCTCTCTCTCTCTCTCTCTCCCCTCCCCCTCTCCCTTCCCCCCCCCTCTCTCACACACACAAAAGACAACACCATTTTCAGGAAGCTGATAACTTCCTTAAACCACTAAAATAATCAATTGTATTTATTTAGTTTTACTTGATCTCCATGGCCTTTCTACTCTCATCTCCTGTTTTACTGAAACTCTTCAGATATTCTTGCACTAGGATACCCTTCAGCCCAAGCCAGCATTGGGAACATTAAAGATTGCTAGGAATTGTAGTTCAGCAGCATGTGAAGGGGCACTGGTGAACTGTTAAGTTTTGCTCTATGAATACTCCCCTTCTTATCATTTGTTTTCTAGTTCTTTCTACAAATTGAATTTCTTGATGTCAGGGTAGGTCTTGTTAGTTCTACTGCTCCCAGTCCCATAGTTTTGTGGCTCATAAAATCCACAATGACTTGTAAAAAATGTAAACTGATGTGTAGGACAACCAACAGAAAAGGTGTAAGGTAGAGAGAGTTACCTGCTAGTTACCTGCTAACCTCAAATTGGTTTTGGTAACAGTGTTTCTGTCAGTAACTATTAACAGTGTTGTGGTATTAACCAATCTGTAAATGAGTCCATCTATATTTTACTTGGAGTAGTTATCCATTTTATATTAAAGAATAGTTCAACTCCATACTCTTAAAATACCACAGGTAAATGTACTGACTTCTTATTGCATTGTATATTGTGTATTCCTTCTACCGTGTTTTCCCGAAAATAAGACCCACCCAGAAAATAAACCCTAGCCCGATTTTTTAGGGTGTGCCTAATATAATCCCTACCCCAAAAATAAGCCAGGGGGGGTGGGCATGGCCAGCAGAGGAGATGGCGAGTGCACAGTGTCTGGCAGCAGCCGCAGTCCGTATAGCACAAATAAGTCGCGTGCAGAGGCACAGAGAGGAGGTAGGTGATCCGGATATGCTGCACAGCCGCCAGGCTTGCAGGAGGCTCGTGAGAGGCTTGTGCGCCGGCATTGGCAGCAGGTGGAAGCAGAGGCATGGGGGGGAGGCAGGCAATCTGGATGCGCTGCACGGCCGCCTGGCTCATGGGAGGCTCGGAAGAGGCTTGTGCAGTGGCACTGGCAACAGGTGGAAGTAGAGGCACATGGGGGGAAGCAGGAGATCCAGACGTGCTGCGCAGAAGCCTGGCTCATGGGAGGCTTGCATGGCAGCACTGGCAGCAGGTGGAAGTAAAGGCATGGGGGGGGAAGGCAGGCGATCTGGATGCGCTACGTGGCCACCTGGCTCATGGGAGACTCGCGGGAGGCTTGCGCGGTGGCACCCTCAGCAGCCAGAAGCAGAGGCATAGGAAGGAGGCGATCCTGACATGCTACCCACTCTATCCCACCATCTCTCAACTTGCCCACAGTCACGCCGGAACAGGCAGCCACACAGTGTGTCGGAATCGGCTGCCTCCCCCCCATGTCTCTGCCTCCACGCTCAGACTTACCTGTGCTTCACTAAGGGGCTGGTGAGCTGCAGCTGCTGCCAGACACCATCAGCCCTGCGCATTTGCCGCTTCTTGTGTACATGCCGTCGGAGCATCCGACTGGGCTGATCACCCTGAAACCATGTTTCCCTGAAAACAAGCCTTAATGCATCTTTTGGTGCCCAAAAAATACATAGGACCGGGTCTTATTTTCAGGAAAACACTGTAGAATGTGTTTGACATTTTATAGAGTTTTTCCTCACAAAAGAAATCAAATTTTGTTTGCATATGGATGAATTGAGTAGCCATGATTAACTCAAGATTTAAATGGATTAATCCATCTCAAGCTAGAAACTGGGAGAGTGTGAGTTCTAGTCCTGTCTTAGGCACAAAGCTAGTTGGGTTACTTGGGGCCAGTCACTTTCTCTCAGCACTAGGAAGAAGGCAATAGAAAACCACTTGTGAAAAACCTTGCCGAGAAAACTACAGGGACTGGACCAGGCAATCTCCAGGAATTTGGACACAGTTGAATAGAAGGGGGGGAATTTATTCATCAGTAGTTAATAGCCTCAGCTTTCAGAGAGACCTATCACTTGTACAACATGCTTGTAAATTCTGTCACATTTGGAACTATTCCATATAACATGGCATATTGCTGACAGGCATTCAGACAACTACAGAACAACATTCATTCATATTTTGAGAAGTAGAATGGTTTGTGAGGATTTGGCACCAGGCCTCTGGTTTAATCTAACAATTTTTTGTTTGTTCATCGATTGAAATCATGAGTGAGGTTGAAAAACATGTGGATCATCAAAATGGATTCACTTCAATAAAGTTCCATTAAAAAGGAATACGTTTCTCTCTTTGGACATACATCTTGACTCTTCTTCTGTGATATGGTTTTATTTAGGTCCTAGTCACAGGAGCTAAAATATGTGAAGCTTTTATCTTTTTGGTAGAATGAAATTAATCTACACAGAATTCTATTTTTTTTTACTAATCTTATTGTTGCTAACATTAACATTATAATATCAGGAGAAGGACTGTGTAATGTAAGTCGGTCAGTGACTTTGACAAATGGAATGCTAGATTGATTACTAGCATAATTAAGTGAATAGTTATTATATAAACCTTTCAGTACTTACACAGCAGGTCCGTAGGAGGACATATGTTGGGGATGGAATTGAATAGCAAAGCCTATGCTATGCTGTAATAACAAAGCTATGCTAAATCCCCTTTGTGAACTGGAGGGAGGAATTTCACATTTTAAAAATATTTCTCTCCCATTGACCTCAATGAGAGGAAAAGTATATCTCTGTAGGTTTTAAGGTATACTGCATTTGGGACTGGAAAGTCTTTTCATGCTGCAGATCAAATTGTTCTTCCAATCTACATATTCTTTACTTCTATAGAGATCAGACTGTAAGTAAGGCAATAACCACACAAAAGTCCAGGCCATTTGGGAAGGGACATCTAAGTTTGAATCTATTTCACATACTCAAAAGAAAGAGATCTCAACTGTCTTATAATCCCTTGATAATTTTCTTCTAAGGACATAGAATGGTAGTCCAGCTAATGTCAAGTCATACTAAAGTAGAATTAAATGCATGCATGCACCCAGAAAAAGAGAGCCAGCCAACCATCTATTAGGGTTTCTGTTTCAAATAATTGCTACAGGCTAACGCTGAATAGAATAGAATAGAATAGAATAGAATAGAATAGAATAGAATAGAATAGAATAGAATAGAATAGAATAGAATAAAGCTGGAAGGGATCTTGGAGGTCTTCTAGAAAACTCAAGTGTTACATTAAACAAAGCAATTGGGGAATGAAATTGAAATCATAAGCTCTGGATGTAAATTAAGATTTGGAATGAGTAACAGAAACAAATATTCCATCCGATATTTTGTATACTCATAAAAACATCTCCTATACAGAGGTGGGGACTTCCAATGGAAAGACACGTTGTACCTGCAGATGCTAAGGACTCTGGAAGATTTAATTTCTCAAACAAATCTCGGTATACTAAAATGCGTTTTAATGCACTTCAAACATACACTCCATGATACAGTGTTATTAAAAATTGTACAGTATTTTTCATACGGCATACTATTTAAAAATTGTACCTCTAAAAGTTCATCCTCTAGTTGCAGTAAGCCAAGTTTAGCAATTGGGCCATCTGTAGCAATGGAAGAGATGTAATGATGTCCTTCAAAAGTATCCAGTTCAACTCCGAGCCTTAATGTGTGAATAGGCAGCAGCTATTAAACGTAAATCACAAAAATAGTCAGATAGGAACATTTACAAAGAATGTGGATTAAATTCTGTAGCTCTGTGACATTCGAATCAACTGAATATTATTTTAATTTAGCAATGAGTTGAATCTGATTTACTATTTTTATTTTAATACTCCTTGATAAAAGGATAATGATGCCCTCAAGTCCATCTCAATTCCTACTAATGCAATCCATGCACTTTTCTGTAAAGAGTCACAGAAGTGCCGTTGTCTTTGTTTTTGCCTTTGCCGTTACTTTTTAAAAATTATTTCTGTTTTTCTTTCGTTGTTTTTCTTTTGTTTGCCAGTCTAGCCAACAGCCCTTAAACCCCCAGATCGTCACACTTATAAAAACAATAGAGGGAGATGCATGGGTGGCTGGACGTCACATGATCTCTAGGATTTGCCTGTGAAAATATAAGTGGTCTTATGACAAACCAATGAAAGTGGGATTTTAAATGTTTTATGAGAGATATTTAACCAGCAAAGACAAATAGACAGACTAACAGACTAAAAACTGTTGTCAGCAGAATAAAAATGTTAGATTCGATAATTACTTCTCACCATTGTCTGACATACTTAAACAAATCAGGGAGAAAAGTAATAACTATTGTTTAAATAAGGCTTGAATTAATAAAATAAGTGCACAAATTAATATGTAAATGAAGGGATAATGAATCCTGGTTTCTGAGTCCAACTTGCTAGGTATTAAAAAAACAAGAATTTCAATTTCAACGATGTATTTCTACTGAGCAAAAGAGCCAAGCTGAGCTGGATACATGCATTAGCATGCAGATAACTGTAGAGACTGGGTTTTCTAGAATTCAGAATTATTACTGCATACAGCACTGCAAGTTAATGTTGTTTTCAAGCAAGGTTTGATTTACAGAAGATCTCTTAAAAGGTTTCTTCTTAGGTATATTAACTACATTTCTTTTTAGTGCCAATCCTAAATAATGGATATTCCAGGGAAGGTCTACAAAGGATTTTAACAAGCAAAGCTGTAAAATATGTTTGCAAAAACTAAATAGTTTCTCGAATAAATTCATGCCTGCATAACAGCAGCACAAAAACAGTAAGATATGCAAAGTGTCAAAAACATTGATAACACATGATTCACATCCATTCCTGTTTCCATTGCTAGCATGTCACATGAGTGTTAAAAAGAAAAAAAAAGGATTCAATACCTTTGAATATTTTTGTAGTTCGGCATCATCTGCAATTGGTGTATCTATTGTGACAACCTAAAAATCAAATTACAAAAAGGCTTCATGGGTACAACAAAGAGCTACTTGAAAACTCAAAGAAATTGACTAAAATATATTGCAGATACATTACTGGAACAAGTGAGAGATTGAAGTACTAGAAATATAGTCATGTTGCTTGTTAAATCATCTAAAGTTTGGACTGAGAGAAGTAAACCCTAATCGAGTCTTCAGAAACAGGTTTAATTATTGAGAAGACTCCTTATGTATTAATGGTCACATTTCTATAATTCAGTTTATTTAAATTATTTCCTATATACTAAGCCAGTGTTTCTCAACCTCAGCAATTTTAAGAGGTATGGACTTCAGCTCCCAGAATCCCCCAGCCAGCCATGCTGGCTGGGGAATTCTGGGAGCTGAAGTCCATACCTCTTAAAGTTGTTGAGGTTGAGAAACACTTTACTAACTGTTAACCCTCTGCTCAAAAAGCAAATATTCTCATTTAAGGTCTCATTTCTTGAAAACAATAAAAATAATATTCCCAGTAATTTAATGAGGATATATAGATAACATACCATAACTTCATAATCTGGTCCCAGCAGTGTTTCCCATTTGGATGTTGGCTTATTTTCTGATAAGTCTGAGGTGTTCCCTAAATTACAATTATTATTATAAGGCAGTTGTTAGGACTGCGCATTGTTTACTTACATTTTGGCAAAGCACAAAGCATTCTAAACTAATAGCCCTTCTATAGAAATACATATAAAAATTCACCCCAAGAACAGTTCAGTCTCCTATTTGCATCAAATCTTTCTTCAAGATTTCTTCAAGATCGTTCTTCAAGAAAGATTCATACCATCAAGATCAGGATTAAATATATCTTATGAATTATTCCCCATTTTAAACACATGGTTGTTTTTAGCTCACAATATTAGCATAATAAAATAGAAATGTTAAAGTTTAGTACGGTAAGTGAAGTAATAATCCATTTTGTAAATCACAATTTGTACTTTATGTTTGAAAAATGTTTTCAGAGTTTGAATGGACATTAAATTGGCAGTGTTTTCATTACTGATATTATAGTTAAGAGTTTGTCAGCATTTCCAACAGCACTGTCTATTTTTAGAATTTAATCTGGTTATTAAATTCTGCTCCAGGATGAATTTTTACAGACAGTATTTAATCATCTGTGTTTTTTTAAAAAAATGGCTATTATTAGTTTTTAAACAGGAAAGATAGATCAACGTACTTACCACTGAAAATACATTTTATCATTCCTTTATCCTAATTAGGTTTGTACTTTTTTGTAGGAAAGAACAAAAAGACATACTGCTATAGAATTGCATGCCACACACAGGCTACTTAATTTGCTCTTGTCCCATTCTCATTTGAGTATAAATGCCCAAATACGATAAAATTTTGATATTATTCCAAGTCATTACAACTTGGAGCATCAAATAAGAAGAAAAGAATTTCTAAAATTGTAACATAATGTGCTTCAATGAAACATTTTACTTGGCATTAAACTAGCTAAGCAGAAAAGCTTTGTTAATATATATAAAATCTATCTAGTTCAGCTTTCTTCATTCTGCCCATTTAAAGAACTGTTTATTTCACTATGAATAGAAACATGTTTGACTTTAGCATCTGAATTTTAGTTTTTGAAAAATGTAGAACAAGCGATTATCTTGTTACTTCTTCTACCCAAAGCTTCAGCCTGTATCTAATGGGAATTATTCTGCATGGCAATAGATCACTGCCACTCTCCATATAATGGCAAACCATAGATATAGGTAGTTCTAGACTTCCAACCATAAATGAACCTGGCAATTAGGAAGTAAGTTATGGAAGACAGTTGTAAAGTGGCCTCTATGGAGATTCTCACTCATTAGTATGAAAGGGGTCAAAGAGGCCATCTATATCAAAATTGAACAGCCCTCTCTCAATAGAGGGGAAGGATACGACATTATCTATCTCCAGTCTCCAACACACAGTCCTTCCAGCAGTTCTAAGAAAGCTCCACATCCATTTGCATTGTTCAGGTGACTCTGACAACACAGATAAACCTCCAGGTGGCTGCAAGGACTCTCTAAACAGGGGTGTCAAACTCGCAATGTCACGTGACGTGTCACGACGTATCGTGACTTTTTTCCCATTGCCGGCAACGGGGTGGGTGTGGTTTCAGCATGACGCATCCGGCCTGTGGGACAGCAGTTTGACACCCCTGCTCTAAAAGAATGCAAATGACCAGGGGTCTGCCTGCAAGAAATATAAATCCTTCCATTCCCCACCATCCAGTCAGAGCTGAAGAAGCTTCTTGGATGAGAAGCGAAATGTCTTCAAAGAAAAATAAGAAAGTCCAGTTGCCTCGTGAAAAAGCAACTTTGGGACAAATTATAAAGTGGTGGTTGTTAAAACAACTCATTGTTTGCAATTTTTTGTCAGAAACCAGAAATACAGAGTTTGGGCAAAACATCATAACTCATGGTCACATGACCAGGAGACAATGCAAATGATCTATAATGCAGGCCGATTGCTGAGCACCCAAAATGCAATCACATGACCACAGGAGGTATTGGCTGTGAAAACTTAGGTATCAGGTTGTAAGTAGTTTTATTTGCTTTATTTATCCAAGAGTAGGTGGTCTTTATTTATATTGCTGCATTTTATATAGAGAACATACAACATAGAAGGCTTGGAAGGGACCTTGGAGGTCTTCTAGTCTAACCCCCTGGTTAAGCAGGAGATCTTATACCATTCCAGACTGGTTGTCCAATCTCTTTTTCATAAGCTGGCAATAAAAATTATTCATATTTAGAAATATCAGTGTTAAGAGAATATTAACTTTTTATTCTATACAGTTCATCTGAGACTGATGAGATCTGCTCGCTCTTTTTTGCAATTAATTGGATGCTTTCAAAATGATTCTTTAAAAATAATTTTTAGTACTAAATTCAAGGTAATGTTATAAAAAAGTTGATACAAAGGAGGGGGATATTCCAAGTCCTTCAGGGTCCAGCACGCACTGGTCCACAATCTCCCCTAAACTGGGATTCTCCATTGCTGCTGCGACTCTCTCTTTATCACTGATTTGTTTGGTGATGTCTTCCTCAATAGAATGAGGCCCCTTTGATATTTGTTAGAATTCTATCATCCCTTTCTTTTAAATGCTCAAGGCAACATTCATTGTATTTCCTCCTCTAATTTTCTCAGGCTACCTCAGGCTAAAACTCACAAATGAGCTTTTGTATCTGAAGACGTTCTGATCTCCTTAGTTCTAATCCAAGACCTTAACCTGTACATTGTACTGGACTTCATTTCAATACTCCAAAAATTCAAATGGCTTTTGTAAAAACCCCTCTTAATATTTCCCCACAACAAATCTGTGACCGGCCCAAGTTCATTAAGAAGTAAACAAAAATAGTATCCTTACAGATTGTGTGCCAGATATCTCATTCCTTTTCTGGCATTTTGTTATCTCAGAAGCAAAAGACCCAAATGACTAGATAATATTGTTACCGATTTAATAAAATTGAAGCATATCGCTATCAGAATTACAGCTAATTGTTCTTGATTCTGGTCTCTTTTAATGTATTGCTTCTTTATGAAATGTTACAGTGGGTAATCCTTAGTTGTTATTTACGCAATAATAATTTTGAAGCAATAACCTGGCAAAAAGGTTGTTTTCCAATAGAGTGTTTGACTTACCAATTTCATGTTGCTTTTGATTCCTTTCATTTTCAGTGTTGTCTTTTTGCTCTTGAGGTTCCTCATTTTCACTATCGGTTTCTACACCAGTCAAGTTGAGCCCTGGAAAAGTTCCCAAAGCATCCCATCACTTCTGTAATCAGGCAAAGATTTCTAAAACAGGTCTGAATTGGTATGACATTAAACTTTCCACATTACTCCAAATGTCCCTATTATCAAATCTCAAGTCCTCAGCTGATATTCAAACTAGTAAAGTCATAGGCTTCTCCATTTCCACTATCCCAAAAACATATTCAAAATGTAAAAGGAATATCAAAAACTGAATAATGACTGAACTATTCTAGCATTTTAACTGACTTCCCTTCCACCTGCCATGTGCTTAAATGTGCTTTTCTGGGAGGATTGAAGGTCTGAGAGCAGTCTTTGAAAGAAGGGAATTCTGAATGGATTTCATCCAGAGTGTCAGATCTGAAGGAGAATATCTCTGTTCTCAGGTTACTAAAAATGTTCCATAATCATTTAATCTGCCTTTCCTCAGCTTATAATAATGATAAAAAAACAAAAACAAATTAAGCACCACAGAATTTTAGAAAACAAATAAGGTCTTAAAAGTAGCATTGGTTAGAAAGGTGGAGCAGAAACAACAACAACAAAATAGATATACTACGGTTTGCTTTACAAGCCAATAGAGGATAAATCCTGTAGACTTCTAGAATAAAATTCAATCATCTGTTTTTTAGTGTCACATTTTGCACCCAAAATATAGCAAATATTATCCTTTGGTTGCAATTATTGCCACCTCTTTGGGGACATGTGCATAGCAACACCTGTAAAAATAAAATGGGGTAAGAATGAAAATTTGATCTTCCTTCCTAGTATCTTGCTTTGGCCAGTAAACCTTTAAGGATTTAAAATTAGTTTAACTAATTAAGCTATGTTAATTGTTGAGCCTTTTGGAACAAAGGAACCAGGTTGACCGATTCTTATAATTCTACTGGCTGTATTATTTTGCTCACAATCTATGAAAGCGGCAATCTCCCTACATGACATGTTTGTTTTCAGAAAAGGCTAGGACTAACCAGTTCTACTGGCTTAACCAGCCTTGTAAATAAGTGGAACAGTAGAAATCACTTCAAAATATCAAGGTGCTCATTAAAAACAATCCTGAACATTTTGCCTTAACTAGAAAAGAATGTAGATAGAGGGAAGAACTTTACCTCTATCCAACTCTCTTTCTACATAATGTGGTTTCTTTCGAAGTAATGTCAGATGAACAACTGGTCCTGTCTTGCGTAATGCTTCCACAACTTCTTGGTTGGTATAATTCTGGATATTAATTCTGTTAACCTAAAATATACATACACACATAATTGTCTAATTATTGCACAAAGACAAAACATGAAGAAAAAAAGATTCATACATACTAACTCATCTGAGAAACCAAGAACCGGCCACTTTCAGTGATGGGAAGGTAGCAAGCAGATATGTTTAAAACAAAAATACAAAACGAGACAAAATCTTGCAATCTAAGATATAATTTTTTTCCCCCGAGGACTGGTGGGGGGCAAAATAACAATGTTTCCCAACTCTCGCAGTTTATATAAAATCGTCATTAACTTACAAGCCATCCAGGGTCTTCTTATAGGGGAGATGGGTGGCATAAAAATTTAATAAATAAAATAAAATAGATAATGTAGAGAGAAAAAAACTTTTCTTCCTCTCATAAGATGATCCACTGAAATTCAATGTGAGGTGAAGATATATAATGTATACACACACACACACACACACACACAGACACACATACATACACACATATTCATCCTTATATACTTGTGTATATATAAGTAATAGTAAGAATGTATCAAATTTATATGCTTCTCAAGTCCCAGGGATTCTAGGAGGTTCACAGTTTGTTTTAAATACTAAAATCAAGAAACAATAACAAAAAAAAGGGGGTAAAGATGGCAGCAGGACAAAACCAGATGGAAACAAAGGAAAACAAATCAAGTTAAAAGGAGGCTGTCCTTGCCAAAGGCCTGGGCAAACAGCCAGGTCTTCAAGCCCCTTTTAAAACACCAGTAGGGCAGGGAAGGTTCAGATCTTGGGGAAACCTCATCCCAGAAGGGAAGTATACAGAGAAGGTGTACTTCCGGAGTCCTGAGAGATATCATTGCTTAATTGAAGGAACTTGGAGCACACCAACTCTGCCAGGTTAGATTGGCTAGGCAGGCACTATGGATGACAGGCAGTTCTTTAAACAACCAGGCTTGTCTAGGCCATTAAGCTATGGCACTTGCTGCTGGCCAGCAATTATGGTAATAGCAGCAAATTTGGATCATTTTAAAAGATGGCCAGGCTTGACCAGGGAGGTTCAGACTATCAGTGGCCATTAATAGTGATGAGTGTTTAGCACTTCCTGAAGTATAAATAGCACATCTGAAATGCAGTACTTGCAATAATGAAAGGAAAATGTGGTCCTCTCATTCCAGACTTGTCACCTTCCCAGAGTATCCAGCCGGGAACCCAGAAAGCTAGTTTAAATGAGCATGGGACTTGATACAGCACAGCTCTTACGTTCGTCTAACACTCTATTCTGTTATCCCAGGTTCAAGTATTTATTCTGATTGGTTTCCCCCCTCCCTCAAACAAGAATAGCAAGGAAAACAAGAGAGCCCATTCCTATGAATGCAAGTTTCAACTTACTGCAATAATTTTGTCTTTCACTTTTATCTGCCCATTTTGCTCCGCAGCACTGCCAGGTATTATGTTTTTTATGAAAATCCCTGAAGCTTCCCCTTGAAGGAGGAGAACGAGGAAGAGGGGAGAGGGAGGGAGAAAGTGCAGACAGAGTTAGCACACAATGATTATCATTTCACACATATTCTAGAGCAGTGTTTCTCAACCTTGACAATTTTAAGGCATGTGGACTTCAACTCCCAGAATTCCACAGCCAGCATTGCTAGCTGTGGAATTCTGGGAGTTGAAGTCCACATGCCTTAAAATTGTCAAGGTTGAGAAACACTGTTCTAGAGCAGAGGTAGGCAACTATGGTCCCTTTACAATCAGTGGACTTCAACTCCCAGAATTCTCTTAAAGTTTCTCCATCTGTTTCATCTTCTCAATCTGCTATGGCGTTGTAAGATTCTGTATTGGGTTCCATTTCTCTACTATGTATAGAGCTTTTACATTGCATATGTTTTTATATAAATCATATGTTTATCCTGATTTTTAACACTTATTTTCCCTCTAACTGTTCCTATTTTTGGAAGATTTCTTGGGGTTTATTTTTTTTCTGAATGTCTGAAACTTCGTTTCTTAATACACATTAGCATTTTCCTAGTTGATCCCAGCTTTTTCATAAATGTCCGGTTTTTTTTTTCATTTAGGCTTCAATACAGTATGTCTCAGCTTTTTTTAATCCCATAGAAGGCAAACATTTGATGGCTGGTAAAAATAAGAAAACAACTGAAAAGCTATATTACCATTTTGATGGAGACATAGTCATGCTCTAGCCAGATGACCATGGAAATGTCTTTGGACAGTGCTGGCTCCCTTAGCTAAAAAACAGCCCCTAAAATTGGACACTTGGGCCAGGGAAACCTTTAACTTTACCTAATCTTCCTGCATGACTTAAAATCTCTGGGGCTAAATAAATACTTTAAGAGAGAAAAAGCAAAGTAGCATTTCTCTCCCCCCATTTTCTGACAATGTTGTTCTCTATCTTAAACACATGTTCAGCAAATTATCTGATTTAGCCTCTTCCTTTATCAATCGATATTACACAGCTCACCTGTATTGGAAACTCCAGAATATCCAATAATTGTTATACCAAGGCTCTGTCCATCTTTTTTAGTCAACTTAACTTCATGAATTTCATTTTCCTGGGAAACAAAACCATAGCACTCTTTCAGATTATATTAAGCATTTAATATTGTGCAGAGAATTTTTCTATTTGTTACCTAATTAAAGCCTTTTTCAGTTCAAAGATCCAAAGACAACAGGGTGTGTGTTGTTTTCACAATGTCAGCATTTCTGGTGTTCAAATGTATTGTGTCTTCACACATTACTTTCTGAACATCTGAATATTATTGAATTATTATTGCTTTGAAGTTTTAAAACAGAAAAAAAGAAGAATCTATCTTTTAAAAAAAAAGATTGCTAAATTTTAATATTATTTTCATTTTCACTGTCTGGATTTATTTTTATATCTGATTTTATAATTGTTGTGATATCTCCAAAGGCTAAGACAGGTTAGAAATTTAAAATATATCAAAAAAGATAAATAGAATGAATAATTAGATAGCAGTTACAATTATAGACTGATCGAATGAAAATGTTTTAACCACTCCTACCAGCAGAAAATTTGATTTTTTTTTCTTTACATAGTTCTTTAGGAAGGTATACTTCAGGAGTACTTACAAACAAATACATAAACTGAAAAACAAAGGGTAAGATGAGCTAGAAAACATAGCTGTCAAGTCTGTAAATAAATCTGAGCTAAATAATTGATAATATATAAATTACTGATACTATGTGACCTTTTCAGAGAAAGGCATTCCATAAATATGAGACAGATAGTCAAGAAGATATTGAAAGTGAAAGTGTCTACCGTGTCCAGTTGCCTTTTGAAAAGCACCTTTGGGACTGAAAGTGAAAGCAGTTGATTTTGGCATGTAGCAAAACTATATCAGTATTGTTTGCCCTACAGTAGCAAAGTGTGTTAAAGTCAGTTTGCTGGTCTATGACCGTGACTAATTGTTAAACTCAACAATATTGACAATATTTAGACCAGGGGTAGGCAACCTCGGCTCTTTTATGACTTGTGGACTTCAGCTCCCAGAATTCCTGAGTCAGCATGGCTGATTCAGGAATTCTGGGTATTGAAGTCCACAAGTCATAAAAGAGCCAAGGTTGCCTACCCCTGATTTAGACCGAGAAAGTATTAAGGTCAATTTAGGAAGACTTTTTTCAGACTACATAAAATTTCCAGTGATACAAGCATTAAGATACTTACTGTGTCAGCTTCTCTGTCCTGAATAGCAGCTAATTCACCCACAGGATCAGCTACAGGAGTTGGTGGGGTTGTAGATATTTCACACAAAGGAGATCTTGCAACTACCATCCTGACATGGTTTCCGCAGTTTCTCAACACTTGAGCCACCTGCTCGCTACTCATCCCTTGTACATTGATACCCCCAATTTCTAAGATGTGATCATCAGTTCTAAGTCTGCCATCCTTCAAGAAATAAGGAACATTTTTCAAAGTTAAATTTAACTGGAATTGAATACTTTTTGTAAAGCAAAACTTCAATATAAAATGCCATCGCATCAAAGCAATGCTTGCAGTGGATGTTACATTGAAAGAATAATGTCAAATATTTAAAAATATCATTAAAAATTACTGAAGAAACTACCAGCACGTTTTAGCATATAACATTCAATTCATACAGAAGAAGTAACAAGAAATAGAAAAGAAACTAGTGAGCATATAAGTTCATTAATAACACATATCCAAACATAATTTCTACAATTCTGTAAGAGTTACTCACACATTGTCACAGTTATTGCTTTACGTTGGAGGTACCCCACAACCAAGGATTTTTGTTACTGAGACCCCTTATTTTTAATTCCTCTAATGTAACTTGATCCACACGAAGAAACAATTAACATAGTTTCTTCATATTTTTCAGGAAATAAACTATCTCACAATAATGTCATCCAATCATTGTTACCTCGATTTTTTTTGTTCAAAATTTAACTTCATTACAATGTATACCTTTCTGGACAATCAGAATATTGTAAACAATGACAAGGCGACATATAATTTTGGATATAAAAATACTTTGTTTGGTACAATTAAGTTCTCCAAAAGAAGCAAAAGTGGAAAAATAATGAGACAGTGTTGTTGCAAGGCAAAAAAAAGCCATATTTAATTTCTATTCTATATAAGCCTCCAATTTTCATTGATACTATGAATTGGAATACATTCCCCCTAATCTCTTTTTGGAAGCACATCTATTTAATAAGTTACTGCCAGTTCAAAGCAATTTTGACAATTGCATAAGATGTAGTGTCTTTCAGTATCAGCTGAAATTCAGGCAGTCCTCAACTTACAACAGTTCATTTAGTGACCGTCCAAAGTTACAATGGCACTGGAAAAAATGACTTATGACCATTTTTCACAATTATGACCATTGCAACATCTCCATGGTACACGTGATTTATATTCAGATGCTTGAAAACTGACTCACATTTATGATGGTTGCAGTGTCCGGGGATTGTGTTATCCCCTTTTGCAACCTTCTGACAAGCAAAATCAATGGAGAAACAAGATTCACTTAACAACTGTGTTACTAATTTAACAACTGTGACAAGGAAAGTCATAAAATGGGGCAAAATTCACTTAACAAATGTCTCACTTAGCAACATAAATTTTGGGCTCAATGGTGGTCATAAGTCAAGGACTACCTGTATATAAAGGCAAGGAAGATTACGTTTTCTCCTGAAGCAGATTCCCAAAGACTTAACCATTTTAATCAATAGACTATATCCCACAGCCTACGTAGTAACATGTTGCCCTTTGGTTATATCTTCTTGGCACAATCAAGCTATGGTATGCAATTAAAACTGATCCAACCACCTGCTTAGAAGCATCTCCTGCAAGTTTGTTGCAAATCCAGATTATACCCTGATCTGTGCATAAATTGCTGTGCACAAGGCTAGGCCAGATGGGAGAAGCAATATAAATCAAAAGATGATAGACAAGTTCAGCATTTTTCATACATTGTATATATCACTCACTTATGGCTTTCACTGTATGCGACATTCTTCCACTGTAAGTCTAATCGTTACGGCATTACCAAATTGTAATTCTACAGGTTTTTAATATTCCTCTTTTTACTTTAAGAGCCAAGGCATATATAAGAAGTCAGTTAGAATAGAGATAGCGGTGACATTTAATTAGTATTCTTTAACCTACTTTTAATCTATATTTACGCATGCCATCAGTTAGGCTCAGATGATTTAAATTTATTTTCATCATTTTAAGCCAGAGCTCCCCAACCTTTCTGGCTTGGTGGCCCGGAAGGAAAGGGAGCAGCAGGGAAATGAGCGCTAGAGTGCGTGCGCAAGCGCAAACGGTCAGCACAAACCCATGGCGTGCCCACTGGTGCCGGCACACTGGCACCCACACACATGCGCAAATGGGTCACTGGCGCTGTGACACTGGCAGCAGTGCTAGCATCCCTGTGCATGTGCAAATGGGGCTGCTAGCGCCTGCACAGCAGTGCTACTAAAAGGGGGTGGGCTTGCCAGCTATTCCCATCGCCCGGTGGCCAACAGGCCACAGCCCGGTACTGGGCCGCAGACCATAGGCTGGGGACCCTGTTGACCCGGACTTAGGGGACAGTATCAATTGTGAATACGTGCAGATGGCCCCGCTATCTCTGGCCACTTGCAGAACCATGAATGCAAGGCCATAAAAGGACAGCAAAGGAAACACCCAATATCCTAACCCACCCGGGAACATATGGTGTCTTAGGGAAACACCTAAACCACCCAAAAGGGAACATATGGTGTCTTGGGGGAACACCCAAAAGGGAACATTTTTAGCTACTTCTGCTTTCTTCCTTCTTATTTATAGTGTGCCAGCCTTAAAGGGCGAAGTCGTTATCTTACGTGTGTCAGCTTTGCTGGGTGAATTGCTTATGTAATCAAAGAAGGTATAAAAATAAGGCTTTTCTGATATTTGGGGCTTTTTCTCTCTTTTAGAGAAGCCCGTCTTTGTTCAGCTGAATAAAAACGTAAAGCCTGAAGGCAACTTCTGGTTTCCTGTATTTTTTAGCAAGCAAAACCTCAGAACCTGCACAGCAATCCCGTTTTAAACAATTTGGGGCTCTTGCCAAATGTTTGCATGTGCATACTGTGTAAAATACCAGGTGTCATAGAAACAATGCTAAGTTAACAAACAGGAGCGGGAGACTTTATTCCCGCTCCTTATTCTACAATGCTTTATCTCAGCTGATACAGCAATGGAGAGATGACAGATAACAATAAAGGTACGGAGAAGTTGGGACAATTTGATTACTACCCTCCTTTGCCACAACGACATGCATAGTTGCAACTGGTTTTGCCTGTGAGACATTAACATAGTAACAATTAGTGATAAAGAGGTGGGCACAGCTCATTCCCCATAATTCTCTAAGGCTGAGAAATGCTTCTCCACTGCTGCTTCCACAGTCTAATAAGACAGGGTAAGACAAGTTGAAGGAGGTCTACTTTAGTATCTACTTTAGTATCTACTTTAGTGTCTGCTAAAAACACTAAAAAACACTTCTTTCCCTCAAAGAAATTACAGAAACAAGTATTAACTATGTACAAATATACACCTTCACATACAAACACACACACACACACACACACACACACACACAGAGAGAGAGAGAGAGAGAGAGAGAGAGAGAGAGAGAGAGGGAGAGAGAGAGAGAGAGAATTATAAACAAATTTACCCTGTCTGCTAGTCCACCAGGAACAATAGTCCGTACCACCACACCACTTGATTTTCTTCCTACAATTCCAAAACCTAATCCTGAGCCATCATTAATCAGTTCAACTTCCTCAGTGTGGCCCCAATTGACCTAGAAAAATAGAAAAGAAAAGTCATTTTACAGTGATCTTTCAAAAAATTAAAATGCTAAAAACATTTACCATAGAACTTCCAATCCATACATGAGCATACATGAGATCCAGTGGCTCATGCAATTATAGTAAGGTGGATTGATGGAGAACACGGACAACTATGCAGGAAGACCCCATAATGTGTTTTATTACATCATACCATAAATTTCCTCCGAAGCATTTCTAATTAAAACATTAGACCAGTACACTGAACACAAAAATCATATCTGAAACACCATAAAGGACACAAGAAGAGAGACTATCTTCAAACCATTTTTTCACTGTCTCTGAAATATGAAATAATGCATTGAGTATGACAACTGCACTGGAATAATTACCTGGACCTAATCAGAACAACACATTGAAATGAAGCAAACAGCATTCATATATGTTTTAAGTTTGCTTCCTGGACTGCACACAACAGCCTTTTGGGCACCAGGGACCGGTTCCATGGAGAGAGGTTTTTCTGTGGACCGAAGAGGGCATGGTTCCACATGCTGCCTGCATCCACGGATAGAGCTTCACTTGTTTATGTGGCCTGTTTTGCACGGCCTGGTTTCTGGTATGCTCTGTGCCCAGTCCATGGTCTGGAAGTTGGGGCCTAAACCATCATGGTGGCTGGGGGAATTTCACAACAATCCCACAACAAAACAATGCCTGCTGATGCACTGGACATTCATGTCATTTTGTTTTCCGTATGTAGGGTTTGCATGCCCTTTCTCCTTTTGCAAAAACTGACCTACTAACAAACTGTATGGAGTAAAATTATACAGTGCAATTTGTCTAACATGCAAACCCTGGAGATGTGATGAACATTCTTGCAAAATCATATTTTGATTCTTATAAAAAAATTATCTTACCATTTCAGGTTCATTAGCCTCACTCACAGCAGAGGAGTTCCTACTGCTGCTCTGGGTGGGCTCCCTGGCCACAACCAAATGTAAAGAGCCTGTGGACTGTTGGAGCAATAGGATTGCCTGTTGATGAGAAATGTTCAGGTCCAACGGTGTATGATTTACAGCCAATATCTGATCATTTTCCTTTAACCTTTGATCCCTAGGATAAAGCGCAGGTGATAGTTAAAAGTGCTGCAGAAATCTTTCATAATATTGTTACAGGATAATTCAATCAACACAACTCACAGGTATTATGAAACAGATGCTTGGGTGCAGGTGCAAAATGTGATATTGCATTAAGTCACCGTTTATGTCCTTATTTTTTGAGTAAGTACAATTGACAGGTTTTGTAAAGCATGATAAATGATAAAGTATAGAGTACAATGGTTGGGTTCACATAACATGCTAATTCAAAGCTATTCAACCAACCAGCCAAGCAGCATATTCTATTATATCAGTATATGAAGCGAGTTACAGTGTTGGGTATGATCAGTGTAAAGTGCCACCGAATTTCCAAATCCAGATAAAGGCTGGATCAGCACACCGCACTAAACAATGTTGTGATTTGGTTGGTTTAGTCCAGTGGTTCTCAACCTTTTTAATGCCGCGACCCCCAACCGGTCGTAAGTCGAGGACTAAACCGGTCGTAAGTCGAGGACTAAACCGGTCATAAGTCGAGGACTAAACCGGTTGTAAGTTGAGGACTACCCAACCGGTCTTAAGTCGAGGACTTTCCCTGCCCGGGAGCGCCGTGCATGCGTGGTTCCGCCCCCTGCGCCGGCCGAGGCGTAGCTGGCAAGCGGCAGAGACGGAGCAGGCCAACCACCAGCTGGCCCAGCTCAAGGGAGGTAAGGCACCCGCCGGAAAAGGGGGAAAAATGGCAGACAGCCTTGCTTGGCGACACCGTGAAATGATCGATCGACCCCAAATGGGGTCGCGACCCATAGGTTGAGAACCGCTGGTTTAGTCTGATCTTTAATTACAACTAAAATATTATGTGATTTGCTCTTTACTAATGGTTTCATAGGTATGTCAAATAGACAACTGTGAATTGTGCTGCACCAGTTGGATATGTATCAACTATAACATTCAGATTACCTACATTTATAACCAAGTTTATCTAAGAAATATTAGGTTGTGAACTACTATTAACAATGACATGTTTTTCTTTCAGAAATTAAATTCTGTGTTAATAAACCACTCATTAACCAAATAACTCCGGTCCTCTGGCCTCCACTCGGTCCCCAGGAGACTTAGACCCTCCGGCCCGGGACCACCGGCTGATGTTATGTAATGCCAGGTCCGTGATTAATAAGGCCCCCCTCATACAAGACCTTATTTTAGAGGGGGGTGCGGACCTGGCAGGTATTACTGAGACCTGGCTAGGCGTGGAAGGAGGAATACCTCTAGTTGAC